TATCTGCACTTGTGCAGGTTTGCTAGGGTGAGACAGGCCGAGAGGGGGAGCGACAAGGCCCCCTCCCCTGTCTGCAGGCAGGCTGTCAACTCACCAAGGAAGGGGCCGCCTCTCTTGCTCACCGTGACCCCCAGCTCCAAGAACAGTGCCCACCTGGCACGAAGGTACGACTCGTGAGTTCCCGGGGCCTGAGCGAATGCGCAGAGGAAGGACTGTGTTTCATTCCCTGCCGGGTTCCAGCGCTGGAAGAGTCCCCGGTGTGGCACATGCTCAGTGAGTATCTGCTGCATGTGGAATAACGCAGCACCTTCGTATGCGAAACACCCTCGAACGATTGTGGACAACGGAAGAGAACCACGCCTGGACCACAGTGGCACCCCGCAGCGCCCTCACCACTTCCTCAGCACTTGCTGGGGCCACAGAGCTACGAAGATCACAGAAGCAGACCGAAGGACAGAGGAATCTCGTTCCGTGAAGGTGAGCGCTCCAGTCTCCTCCAGGATCTCTTTGCCGCCTGGTGGCAACCCAGTCCAGCAGCCCCAGGCTTGAGCACCGGCACCCGGCACTCACGGCTCCTGCTCATGGGCTCAGCCACCCTCTGCAAAGTTAGACTTCTCACCACCCGATCTCTGCGAACAAAGGCAGGCCTCCCTGGTCATGCCTCAGCCTCTGCGTCCCTGGACCAGGCTGCCATGAAGAGTACCAAAGTGACTGTTTCAGGTACGTGAGAAAGACAGACGGACGGACGGATGGATGGATGGACGGACGGACAGACAGATAATAGGATAGAAATGATAAACAGATGATAGATGACAGATGGATGGGTGGGTGGATGGATGAAAGCATGGACAGACAGACGACGGAGATGATGATGGATAGATCCAGGGTAGAAAGATGGCTGGATGGGGTGGATGTGCCCACACACGCATGCATCTGTATCCCACTATCATCACGAACAACGTTCCTGCCTCGGCAGAGCAGAAGCTCCATCTAGTCTTCCATGTTTGATGTTATCAGTCTATTACGCTGCATTCAGCCTCATCTGCATGTCAGATCCAGGTCCAGGGCACAGGTTGGAGGGAAAAAAAGCCATGGAAGCTTATCGCTTCAGAAAGTCTCCCAAGTGTCCAGCATTCGGGCTGCTTTCTCCTAAGGCTTCTATTAAAGCCCCAGGAAGAAGAAAGGGAAGAGAAAGGCAAGGGCTATGCATCTACCTATTCACAGGAAAGTGCATCTGTAAATGCTCAAAAGCAGCACGTAAAGCTTGGACAGGTTGTTTCTGCTGCCGAGCCAACATGGATCCAGAGCCTCTGCCGTGACGTGGAAAACGTGAAGAAAGACTACTAGAGATTCCCCACTGGACAGGACATTTCTGTTCCTTGCTAAGACCAGAGGTTACATATGGGTAAATAACTCAAGCCAGGTAACATTTCAGAAAAATCACAGGTGCTCCCCAAGCCCCTGTCAGCCATGCTGGGACATCACCCTGGTACGGGGCCTGTGTATCCATGGACGTCAGCATCGTCATGAAAACGGAGACTAATTCCTCCTGAGCCGGTGTTTCCAGAGTCCCTTCTTGCTGGCAGGACTTTTCATCGCTGGGCTCACGGACATGAGTAAGGGTGTGAGATGTTCCACGCTCGCTCCTTTCCTCTTGTGCTCGTGCTGGTCTCTCCCTCACACCCGGACACAAGCACACAGCACCCTCCCTTAGTATGTGGTGCAGGAAGGCAGGGTCACAGGCCTGGCCATTCGGGAGATCACATCCGAAGTATTAGCAGAACCTCCCCCAACACCTCTGCAACACAACACCAACATCCTCAGCGGCAGAAGCACCGGGACACACAGACCTCGTCAGCGGACCGAGGGCCACACAGATCTGCGGTCCACAGGTCTTGGGGAGACCCTGATGCACTGCGGCAGGTGTGGGGTGCAGGACTATCTGGGATAGGAAAGGATGCCCGGGGTCCCATAAAGTGCCCCAGCCTGTGGGGCCGTCCACAGGCTCAACCTGTCCCCATCCCCTTAGGACCTGCTAGTCCTGGGTACCTCGTGGGGATGACAGACTTGGCTGGGCCCCTCACTGGCTCTGCCCACACGCACACAGGTCAGCCTCCTCTGAGCAGACCAGAGGGAAAACAGCCATCACTCTGCATTTCCCAAAGACCTGAAAACCTTCAACTGCTACCACCACCCACGGCCTGAAAAGCAAACGTGCTCTGTCTTTGCTCCAATTACCTTGTTCTCTTTAAGTAAAATGCAATTTGAAACCATAGAGGTTCTGGTGCTGAAGGAAGCACATTAGCATAAATATTGGCTTGCTGGAACTCCCATTTTTCTTGCACTCACAGAACTGACGTGCTTGCTTTTTTTTTTTTCTTCCTCCTTCTTCTTCTCTTCCTGCCTCATGCATTTTCTGAACATCAGCAAAAAACTAGTTTTGTCATCATCAGAAAACTGCTCTGGCCTGGCTTTTGCATTTGGCTGCCGGCACCTGTCGGGGAATTGATCGGGGATAACCACCGTTGACTCGAAAAACCCACGTATGACAGTCAAAGAGCCAGCCCCCGAAGACAGGCTGAACCTGGGGCCAGTGTGTTTGCGAGCGGAGCTGGCAGGTGACCGGGGACCGCAGGCTGATCCCTGGAGCTCGCCGTGACGAACAGCCTTGCTGGCAGCTTCAAAGACATCCACCGGCTCACCGCATTTCTGCCAGGCCTTCCTGTTCCTTTCTGATCACTCCTGTCAAAAACAGGCTCACACATAGGCAGGCATAACCGTACCCACAACCCACTCGCGGGCCGGACTGCGGAGGGTCAGTGCTCAGTCCAGGGGTGTGACTGCACGTCGTCACGGGAATCCTGACCCGGAGTACTGGTTTGATCTCTTCCTCAATCCAGTCCAACATCTGTGGGGATCCGAGGTCAGTGCCGCCTCATCCAGAACCGACCAGCGGTCCCGCCACTGACCCGAAGCGGGTCTTTCAGGGGCACCTTGGCCTTTCAGAGGCACCCCTCCCCCGGACCTGCCTCGAGCACCGTCTTTCCGTAGTGACGAATGTGTCGTCTGTGATACAGGTCAACCACTTCGGCTGGGCCAGACCTGCACCGATCACTTTCGGGGGGCAGGGCCCAGCCGCGGGAGGCGAGCTGCTTTAAATGAAAGCAGGTCCCAGCTGCTCAGAACACCTGGCAGGGGCCCAGAAAAGGCCCCCCCAGATCTGTGCCCTTTCTGTGTCCATCCTCCAAGGTCCTTACCCTTGAGGTGCCGTAAGCCTTCTTTCCCAATCTTCCCGCCTTCATCGCAGGGCACCCCCGACACCCCAGGTCTTTCGCGTGCTGGCTGCCCACACCTCCTTCCGCACACACTTCGGGGCACTCCAGGGGACCTTGACACACCCGCGCCGGCCCCGTCGCAGGACCTGAGACGCTCGCCACTCTGCAATACTCGATCTGCCTGTCTGTCCCACTTGACCGGAACCTCGTGACGGACAGGAACCTCCTCTGAACATTTATAGGCTAAATGCTCCCAAGTCAATAACCACAACAACGGCCCCATCAGAGTGTCCTTACAGAGTTTCTTCTCAACTGCAACTTCAACCTTCTCTCTTAAAGGGATTTTTGTTTTCTGAACAGATAAGTCTTTAACTGCTAACTGCGCGGACGGCCTAGGAAAGCAAACACGCTCGGCCTCTGCTAACACGATCTCATTCGCTTTAAGCAGAATGACGTTTGAAACCATGTGGAGGTTCCTGAGGGGATGGTGTTCGCTCCGAGGGCTCCCGTCCTCCGCAGCAGGAAGTCTGCACTCCTCTCAAGGCTAGAGAAGGCCTCCCTCAAGCTACTCAGCTACCCAGCCCTGCCTCACACATCAGGCCGCCCAGATCTCTCGTCTGTTCTTTTCAAAACAGGATGCCCTCTTCTATACCTATGAGCCGCACCCAGCCTAAGGACCCACACTCCTTCCCCGGACACCCACCTGTGAGTCGCGGACGTGCTCCCACGTGAGGCGCTCCTCCCTTTGCAAGCAGAGCAAGGATCCCTTACCATCCGTTTGTCACTCCCTCCCCTGTGCTCCCAGAGCGCTCTGCTCTGCGCCCTGAGTGTCCTCCCACACACACCATACTTTCAGCCTAGAATTAAGCCATCTCCCCAACAGGGCTGCGAAGCCCCAATAGGCCGAGGGCAGACAGGGCTTGTGTTCGGACCCAGGACTTTGCGCAGTGCCTGCCTCTGAGCAGTGGCCCCACAGGCATGTGTTCAGTGGATGAACGGATTGTTGTGCCCCGGGGATTAAAACACATTCATCATGGTAACAGTAGCGATGAGGAAGATCTACGTGGGGTCCTCTTTCGTAAGAGAAAACACTGATAGGTGTGAAAAAAGCAGAGATCGAGTTCCAAGAGCGGTTCCAGGATTCCAAGCCAGGTCCACACAGGGTCTGTGGCGAGGCTATGAAAACCTCCATCAACGTAACGAGAATTCACCTCTCTCTCTGCAGGTCAACCCCCAAAGGCAGGAAGAGAAATGGGAAAGAATACCATCAAACTGATGCACGGCCTGGGCTTTGCCCACGACACAAACTTCACACAAGTCCCCGGAGCCTGAGTTGGAGCCTCCTCCACGCAGACGCCGTGCTGGCTAGGGCGCATGGAGGGGAAAGGTCATGTGGCTCCTGACGCCGCCAAGGGGCGTCTCTCCTTAACAGCATTTTCTCTCGCCCATCCAGGCTTATTTGCCTCTTGAGAGAAACCTCCAGTCTGCAGTACTGGGCCACGACCCACACACAGCCCTCAAACCCACTGCAAGGTTTCCCCGGACTCAGGGGAGGAAGGTGTAGCCCCCCCGCTAGCCTGTGAGTCTTTCACGGGCAGGAACGCTATTTCCCATCTTTGCCTGACCAGCTCCAGCCCGATCCCGTTATGTCCTTCAGAAATTTTGTCTACATCCTGGACACCCTGTGGCAATACCCCAACGCTAACCCCCGTGCGCATGCCTTACCTCTTTCAGAACCAGCACACATTTGCCTGGTCCCACCGACTGAGGTAGCTCTGCGATTCTCCCTTTGTTCAGGTAAGGGCCTGAGAAACACCTGTGGTTGATAAAAAGCTGAGGACAGCAGTATTTTCCGTTGACAGTACCTGTGGGGAAGAGCACCATAGCTCATGCTTTAGGAGCCAACAAAAAAACCTGCTTAATCCACTTAGTTGGCAAAATTACCCAGAGGCCCACTGTGTCTTAATATCAGAACGTCTTATAAACACAGTAGCTTAGAAATTCGGGTTATTTTTTTGCTACCACATAAACGAACTTCTCCGTTTATGATGCGGGATTCAAGACACACGAAAAGATGCTAAAACCAAGACAATGACAACTAATGTACTGCTATGCAGCTAATAAAAACACAAAACAAAACAAAACAAACAACAACCCCAGCTCCCAGAACTAAGCTCCCCTGGGTTTTCTACTCTAGAAACTCCCCCACCTTCTCTTCCCCTTCCCTGATTCTGGTGTTTATCATTCCCACACAGGCCTATAAACTTGACCACACACACACAGGCAGATGTGTGTCAACAAGTAATGCATGGTATTTTGGATATTTTAAAAATATTCCATATATGGTTTTCCGCAACATTTTGTTTGTTCGACCGGCAGTTTCTAAGATCCACCCAAGTCGGTACACGTATATGCAGCACGTTCATCCACCTGTCACTTCTGTGGGTGACCCGTTACATGAACACAGCACAAGCAGCGGCCCACTCTCTTGCTGATGGACACTCAGTCATTTCCACTTGCTCAGGAATTACCGACAGTGCTCTGCTGAGGACAGCTGTAAATATTGGCTTCTGCTTACGGGCAAGAGAGCTTTCCAAGTCTATCACAAGGAGGGGGCCTGCTCGGCCATGGGGTCGGCATGTCTTCAGTTGTACCACACGTGGTCAAACTGATCTCCACGCAGACAATCTCAGCCTATGCTCCTATGAGCACTGCGTAGCTGTGGCCACTATTCCACATCCAAGCCAACACTAGACATGGCAGGGCGTCTTCATTTTGCCAATCTCATGGACGTGCAATGTACCTCCCATGGACTGAATTTGCATTTCCTTCATTGTGCTTTCAACATAGCAGGTTGTTGGGCTAGTTGTGTCTCAAAGGGCCATGGGGAAACGTGGAAGAATAAATGGTAAGGTATTACCCTAAAGCTTCCTGATGTCTGTAACAGGGTTCCACTGTCAGCCAAGACTCACCCTCCCCCACGCTGCCCCAAGCTAAGCTCCACTAACGGTGGTTATCTCTGTACAAAAACTTGTTAGTTTGGGACGGTAACTTAACAGTCCAGGAGGGACTGTCCTCATAGGACTTCAACTAAGAACCAACAGGGAACGAGGGAGAAATGTTATTTTTGTGAGGGTAAGACAAAAGGAGTAATATAACAATTATAGACTCTGAAAGAAGAGCTGACATGGTTCTTTTAAAACCATTCTGAAGTTTGAATTCTATACAACAAAATTAGGCAAAAGAATTATGTCCACAGCTGCATATACATGGAAATTTTTTGGTAGGATTACCCTACCCAGAACTTTAGAAAAGAAAACAATTTTAGTTAAGTCTACTCATAAAAATGTTCTCCTTACTATAACCTCGACTGCTAGGATTCTTCCATGGCATATAGCTTAGAATCCTGGAAGAATTCAGAGCAGGTTTCACTTTGGCTAGAAAACAGAATTCATAATCAAATATATTATTTAATGTACAAACACATCTATAATCAGATTTGTTGTCAATGGGGGATTCACATTTGCGTTTTCAAAGGTTAATGTAAGATACAGAACTTTACACATTAAAAAACATATATTATTCACTCTCAGCTTTCAAACACAGAGGGTTTTTAAGGAATAATTCAAAAGCCCATGGGGACTTAAAATATGAACCAGTAATGAAAAATGCAAGTGGGATGACATAAAATGTCAAAAAAAAAATGAGTGCCTAATAATGATAATTTCAATTCTTTCTCCTTGCACATGACCATCCATGACATACAACCCTAACTGGGCCCAAGTTTCCAAGGAACACATGGACTCTTCTCCTGCAGACCGAGAGAAGTGTCTAGAGCTACTGACCAAGAGACAGAAGAGGCACAGAGAATCTGGTTTAGAAAAAAATTTTTTAAAGTAGGTATGTGTTAATAAGTAGCAACAGAAACAAAGAGAATGAACTCAAAGTTGAAATATTCTTATATTAGACCTAAAAACACATGCATGTCTCCACTCCCAAATTGGGACGGGACAGCCAGCCATAAGTGGGCTCATTTACCTGAGGTGTCCAGGTGAGAGAATAAACAAAGGTCATGAGGTATCTTCTCAACAGGCACTGTGGATGGCAATCTGTTGATCAAGAAAATACAACTATCACGGGTCGCACACCTGAGAAGGAACTCAACTAATGAAATAACATTAATTAAACTAATTCCAAAGCCTTTTCACAACTTAAAGTGATCATCACAGAAATCCAAGCACACAGTAATTGAGGATGCATATACATCAAGCAGCAACGTCAGCACAAACTTATCCGTTTCAGAGAGGTCGTCCCCAAATTCTTGTAATGACCCTAAGAAGCCAATGGCATGTCTGCCCCTCAAGTTGTCATCCCTAATCAGCAATGTTCTTCTAGGAGGCTCCTGGCTTGTCTCTTGCTATGGAATTGTCATAATGCCCTTCATTATATTTTAGACACAAAGAAACATCAACTCACATGGATTTTAACGGAAGTCAGACTTCTCTTCAATAGAAGAAACTAGGACTTTCTACAACCTAGTGTCTGAGGACGGCTTGGCCTTTGATTTTGTGCTTGTGTGGGTCATGGCCACACTAGAAAGACCTTCAAAGAAAGCCTATGAACAGATGAGTCCTAGAATGAGAAGTAGGCCTAGCCTAGGGCAGAGCTTTGTGTTATCATTCAGTAAAAAAGTTGCTGAATAAACATTAAAAATGTAGCCATAGGGGAAAAGAGGTGTGTTGGTTTTTACAGGGTAACCAGGATGGCAGTGTGGAAATCACACCATTGAAAAATGACACAAACGCAGAGCAAACCATCACGAAATCTCAGTGGGGTCATCTTCACACTGGTTCTCAAAGTGGGGTCCCCACACTAGAGGACTGGCACCACCTGGAAACTTGTTAGATGCACAGATGCTCAGGCCCCACTAAAGACATCCTGAGTCAGGGAATTTGGAGATGGGGACCCAGCAATCGAGCTGTCTGGGAGTTACAAAATCGGATTTGGATTCAATGATGGGACCATTTATTCTTTGCTCTCGATTTCAATGTTCTCCAGACCAAACTGGAGTCAGATTATTAACCTGCTACACTGTGTTTAGACATGAATGTATGGAAAATGCCCACAAAACTGTTATTCACATTCAAATAGCCATGCAGTCATTATTCAATTACATTTTAAGTTTAAACCTGGGTATCTGAAAAGATCAAATTCATTTCCACCCGTGTATTTTTATTAGAAAACAGAACCGCCTGGCAAAGGCTGTGTATTTTAGTGTACCTCAGCTTTTCTTCAATATATAAAAATGCTACTAATGGTGGGAATTTTTCAAAAACATACCGCAGGTATGCACACTGCCTGATACCCTCCTTCTCCCTAAAATTACAACTGAAATGGGGGATAACTTACATTGACTTAACCCTGTACAACCCACACAATTCTTTTTCCCCACAGGAAATCTAATTTAATCTTCATGAACCCCCTGAGAAACAGGTGTTTCACAAAGGAGGGCGTTGAGACGCAGAAGGTTAAGCAGCTTCCTCAAGGACACCTTGCTGGGGGCTGGCAGAGACGGCCTCAGACGGCTGCAACCCGTGATGCCAGCATGCTGAGTGTGGGCAGGGACAGCGATGCGTGGCCAGGGGGGCCTCAAAGAGGGCTTTCACTATCAGGGTGGGAGGCCAGGATGCCCTCCAGGTGGGACGGAAGGGAAAAAGTGCAATCTGGAGAAGAGATCCCTAGAAGAGGCGTGTCTTACACGTTAACAGGTGCACCATAAACAACAACAGGTATTTCTGGATATCATCTCTGCCAACCCACTCACTGATAAAAACAGCCACACTTCCTTATTCTCTATAAAGACAGTTCTATATGGTTTATCACCTAAGTTTTGGGGAAAAAAAAAAAACACAAAAACTTACTGTTTTTCTGGCTGCACAACTGCAATCTTTCTTTTCTTTTGTGCTGTAAAACAGGCAAGAAAGGGCAACAGGACAGTCAGCTTCGTTCACGAGTTAGGCAAAAGCATTTTTTAAAAATGTCTTCATGGGGGCGCCTGGGTGGCTCAGTTGGTTAAGCGACTGCCTTCGGCTCAGGTCATGATCCTGGAGTCCGGGGATGGAGTCCCGCATCGGGCTCCCTGCTCGGCGGGGAGTCTGCTTCTCCCTCTGAGCCTGCCCCCTCTCATGCTCTCTCTCTCTCTCTTTCTCTCTCTCTAAAATAAAATCTTTTAAAAAAATGTCTTCATGGAAAACTGTGTCAGTTTTAAAGAAACGATTTAAACACTGGAAAGTTTTTTCATTCATGCCACAACTTTATCTTATTTTCTTCCAGCATTAAAATAAACTCTGACTCAGGGCGCCTGGGTGGTGCCGTTGGTTGAGCATCCGACTCCCGGTTTCAGCTCAGGTCGTGATCTCAAGGTCTTGAGATCAAGCCCCATGTCAGGCTCTGCGCTCAGCGGGGAGTCTGCGTGTCCCTCTCTCTCCCTCTGCCCCTCCCCTTCATTTTCTCTGCCCTTTTCAATCTCTCTCTAAAATAAATAAATAAATCTAAAAGAGACTTTGACTCATCAGAAATGAAGTCTAAATAGAATTTACTGCATTTAATATAATTAAACGAATCACTACGTTTGTATCCTTTGGATAAATACCTAGTAGTGCAATTGCTGGGTTGTAGGGTTGCTCTATTATTAACACTAACTACTTTAGTCTAAAATATGCTTTTAATAAGAAAGAAAGAGGACACAAGACAGGAGTTTCTGTCCAAGGCACAACTAAGACCCAGGGGACCGGCCCCACCCACGACTAAACCCAGGGAGCACCGGACCTGGCTCTCAGGCCAACTGAGTCAAGAATCTGTGGTACTGTGAGAGGACAAAAACGGGATGCCCTTGAGATCGAAAAAAAAATTATTCTATGCTCAAAATTTTAGAAATATGTTAAAGTGAAGACATTACTCTCACTGGATCAGATTCACTGAGCAGTATGGTGTGTGGGAGAGAAGAATCCCTTAAAATCCACCTGCATGTAATCTGGGTGACCTATTTTGTCTCACACAGTGCGCTGTCCCCCTCCTAATGGATATGGAATGGAGCTGTCCTTCAAGCTCTGCCGACACCAGGGGACAGGAAGCCAACTATAGGATGGAACTTTCTTTTCTAGTAATTTCCTGAGCATCTACATAAATGAACCACATAGTAGGATGCTAGAAAGAAAAGCTAGCATACAAATTACAAAAAGAAAATACTAGAAATATCTATTTCACAAAAAGTCAAAACCCCTTATTTTTAAGGACTCCTAACTTTATTTTCAATTTTTTCATTTTTTATTTAAATTCAATTTAATTAACACATACTGTATTATTAATTTCAGGGGTAGAATTTAGTGATTTGTCAGTTGTATGTAACACCCAGGGCTCATCACATCACATGCCCTCCTTAATGTTCATCACCCAGTTACCCCATGCCTTCACCCACCTCCCTCCAGCAACCCTCAGTTTGTTTCCTAGAGTTAAAAGTCTCTTTTGGTTTGTGTCCCTCTCTGTTTTCATCTTATTTTTTTTCCCCTCCCTTCCCCTATGCTCATCTGTTTTGTTTCTTAAATTCCATATATAAATGAAATCAAATGGTATTTGTCTTTCTCTGACTTACTTCGCTCACCATAATACTCTCTAGTTCCATCCGTGTCATTGCAAATGGCAAGATTTCAATTTTCTGACGGCTGAGTAATATCTCATTGTATACATGAACCGCATCGTCTTTATCCATTCATCTGTCGATGGACATTTGGGCTCTTTCCACAGTTTGGCTATTGTGGACATGGCTGCTATAAACATTGGGGTGCAGGTGCCCTTCAGATCACAATGTTTGTACCCTCTGGATAAATACCCAGTAGTGCAATTGCTGGGTCATACGGTAGCTCTATCTTTAACTGTTTGAGGAACCTCCACACTGTTTCCAGAGTGGCTGCACCAGCTTGCATTCCCACCAAGAGCGTAGGAGGGGTTCCCACTCATGCACTCTCTCTCCCCCTCTCAAAAACAACAAAAAAAACCCACAGAGTATTTAGCTTAAATTTTCTCTAATCAAAATAACGAACTATAAATTGGGAGTGAAGACCTATTTTACTTTATATATGTTTATATATTATTTTATACAATCTTTATAGATCTTATTATATTTGTATTTTATTATCTCTGCCACTCCACGACCTTCACCTGCCTTCTCATTATGACTTAGCTTGTCAACCTGTGAGGTGCTTCCAAATAACCATCTCTCGAAGATACTGAAAGCATCCACGAGATAAAAATATTGGTGCCCCGTGGTAAATCTAACACCGGGTCTGTTTTTCACAACCTAGCTATCGTCTCTTCACAGAACTGTCTATTTACCCCCCCAAGCCCCGCATGTTGTCCACAGGGCTCCCAACTGGACGATACTTACAGACTGTTTTGTGTGGTGTGGTCAGAGGGTAAGAGTTGGCTTCGCACCAGCCCACGGGGAAGATGTCCATGGACTCCACGTCGACAATGAACTCTGGAGTAGGAGTCTGCAGACCTGCATCGGAAGAGTCAAGAGGACAGGTACAGACTTTACCACAGAGACCCGGAAGAAGCGAACAAAGCACAAGCATCCCCAACATGAGGACCACACTGCCCCGGCCGGTCAGCCGAGCAGACAGATACCAGCACCTGGAACAGCAAACAGCTGGAGTATGAGGGGCGCAAATAAAGTGGAGATCCAGAGAATCCAAGCTATTTCCTACTGCGCATGGGTAGGGGGCACGGGGCGGGGGGTGGGCAGAAAAACTGGCAGAGAGAACAAGTCCATCCCTTTCCTAAAAGTACCTTTAAAACGAAGGAAACGGGCCCGAGCTGGGGTGGGGGCCACAGTATGCGTGTGTAAGCCACCAAAACACACTTCATCCGGCACCAAGCAAAGGTCGACCTTCAACTAAGGAAAGTCACCATCACTGTGAAAAGGAGCTTGCTGGGCACGGCAACTCGGGTTCCGAGCAGGACACACCGAAGGCACAATTCCTCTAGGGAGCTTGCTCACTCATCGGTTTGACTGCGGTTCCTTATTTTGACCTCTGCTGGTGGCCTGCAGACTTTCGTCATGTCACACAAAAGCCATCACCAATGACTATCATCCTTTCTCCTTAATTCTCCCATAATTTGAAGGATATATAGGCTAAAGGAATGCAAGCAGGTTTATGGGGACTATTTCTCAACACAGCTGAGTGAATGGAAATCATTTCTGTCTCCTATTATGACTCAAGTGATACTTAACCTACTTGCCAAAGAGACCATCAAATACACAAGATGACGTCCAAAACAGACAAGAAGTAAAGAAACTCTCCGCGTGGCTTCCAATGTGGAAGTGACCACCCCTGTCCCGGAGGGCACACGGCTCTCCAGAGGGTCCTCAAACTATTTCCTCATCTTTGGACTCACAAAAATAGCAAGTGTTTCTTAGCTACTCAACAATTCTGCTAACAGGCTGAATTCGTCTACAACATACATTTCTATCTCCAGACTTACATTTAGGTACAAGTAAGATTTTCAAGGTCAAAGTAGTACTTCGAAAGGAAGCCTAAGGTGAACTTGATAGCCTGCTCCTTCCTGAATCATGACTTTCATCTTCCAATATTCTGCTGGTTCAAACATCACTTGGTATTAATGCTTTAATATATACAGTTCCATAACAACGTACACAGTAATAGATTTATACGGCCGTCTTTACCATACTTTAAAATTCTTTGATCATGCTCTCCATTCAAAGCAAATATTTATGAGCTACAACGTGTCAGCGACTATGTCCTCAAGAAAGTTATAACCCTGCCTTCCTTGCACTTTCAAATCTAACCTATTAAGGCATCTACTAAATAGGAACAGATGGAAAAGTGGGTTATTTATCTCCCAGGAACATTTTCCTGACCGTGAAATTTTTCTAAACTTATTCTGAATGATGGGCATTGATTCCTTATATCCCTTTATCAACCTTACGCATCTAGACACATCTGGCTGGACTCGGAACATAATCTTTTTAAAAAATAACCCATTATTTTCCACAACCAGGAACCCACTAGCTTACAAAATGATCGTAGCCAATGTGGTTTATCCGAGGCGTGATTATTGCTAATTGAAAAATGTATGCAATTCTCCTTGATTATTCTACGATTTCCAAAATTACCTATGCAAAGCTTAGTGGACTACTGCAACAGTCTTACCATTTTAGAGGACACCCTCTGTGAGCAACACAAGACCATGCTCAACCTTGAACTTCATTTCAGCGGCATCCATCAATATGGATTCTACTCATTCATCCTTATCCAGAACCTTCATCTCAAAATCCATCAGGAAGCCTCAATCTCCATCTATGGGGAAGTACTTAAAGAAATCACGGTACACCGTATGACGGGATATTCTGCCACTATAAGAAAGGACGAGAAACCTCTTTGTATACTTACACCTAAAGACGCGTATGTATATGTTGAGTCAAAGAAAGGCAAAGTATGGAACGCGGCGGATACAGAGTAGGCTACCATCTGTTTAAAAAGGGGGAAATAACATATATTTGTATGTGCGTAAGACAAACCTGGAGGGAAGTGCAAAATTCTAATACAGTGGGCGTCTGCTGGTAAGGAGCTGGGACACTGAGGGATGGTGACAGGAGTGGGAGAGAGACCCTGACCACGGACACTTTCACGTATTCTTGGCCCTTGCGAATGAATCAACTAATTTACAGTCACAACCACCTCACTATCACCACAATAACCACACAACACAAAACAGCTCCCGGAAGAAAAAAAGAGTCTCAGGCATGGACCATACTGCCACAGGGGCCAGATTAATGAAGGGCAAGGGACCTTAACAGGAAACAAAACCAAACTACAATGAATCATTTCGCTAAGAGGACAAAGATGTTCCGTATTCACAAAGCATATAAATCTGTAAGCGTCACTTTGGAACCTTAAAATACTTCTGCCATGTGCCATACCCTGAGACTGCGTCATCCTCTCGTCAGATGCCCCTCCTTCCACGAAGCTCTACCTGCCCTCTGAAAGGCAAGAGGCAGGTTAGCCTTGCTCAGTACCCTCATTAAAAGTCAAAGGCCACAGCCAATTGGGACGGGCTCGAGCGCGCGATGGAGAGATAAGGCCCCACAGGAGAGAAAGTGACAGGTGATCTGGGAGCGAGACTGGGCGCCGGAAACCCCGGGGGCCATCCGTCCGGCTCCTTCCATCTGCAGAGGCCCATCTACAAAACCAGACTGTCAGGTCCCTTCATCAGCTGTGGGGCCCAATTCCCAAGGAACAAAGAGACAGGCAAAACTGTGGGCGGCCAGATCAAGACGTGACAGGAAACAGGCAGCCTGAAGGAAAACAACAGAAATGCTATCCAAAGTGTGTGCGCAGAGAGAGACGCTCACAGGACTGCGAGCACACGCAAGCCCTGACGTTGGGCCCGACACTTGCCCAGATGTTTAATCCTTACAAGGGATCGGGACCAGATACATCCCCATTTTACAGATGAGTAAGCTGAGGCACAGAAGAAGATCAAAGAGCAAGTGACGGATCCAGGATTTGACCCTAAATAATCTAACTCTAGAGGCGCTGCAGGTGGTCTTTTCCTTTCTTTCTTTGTTTTTGCTTCTGGTTTGGGTTTGGGTTGGCTGGGTCTGTTTAGCATCTGTCCCCTTCCTATTCAGGCCCCACTTCCCTCCTGCAGAACTTCCCGGATGAGGCAGCTACCAGCGCCTCCCACAAAGGGGAAGGAGCCAGATCTGCCCTCTCTGCGGGCAAATGACAACAGAAAGGTAGTCAGTCGGAAGTCACATCCATCACAACGGCAGCTCTAAAGCCCAAACCCTGCGTGGGTTCCTGCAGCAAAGCCTCTGGAGAGGCGATCCCCCAGACCCCTTCTCAAAAGCCTTCCCCCACAAATTCGCATTTTGCCCAAGACAGCCGGCCCAGTTCTGTTGCTGATCACCAAGGACCCGTCTAATCGAGCATCAGCTCTGGGCACAAAACAGATCTGGGAGGATTAAAAGCCTGTGCCCACAGACAGTTCCCACTCTCCCGACCACCCTCTTTGGAAACATTGCTCTCAGCCCCTGATTTGCTGAAGCAGCTTCTCCCAAAATTGTCTCATGCAGGCCATACCTCCTTTTAAGATTTTAAAACCACCCACACTGGCTTGAAATATAATTACTTTCACATTTGCATTTTCCCTTGTTTGATTTTTGCAAGTCTCTGCGAAATGCTTATTAACCAACCTGACTTTTCCACAAATTACAGAAAAGGCTTAAGGGGCAGTTTTCCACACCTGGTGTCCTATCTATAAGAGGTCACCTCAACAGGAGTTCCTTTAAACCATGCCACACCCTGTCCATTAGATCTTAGAGACCTTTACAAACCCTAGCACACAGAAGAATCATCTGGGGAGGGTGATGATAAAATGCAGACTCCCATGAAGCACCTGGGTGGCTCAGATGGTTAAGCATCTGCCTTCAGCTCAGGTCATGATCCCAGGGTCCTGGGATCAAGCCCCACATCAGGCTCCCTGCTAACGGGGAGCCTGCTGCTCCCTTCTCCCTCTGCTGCTCCCCCTGCTTATGCTCTCTCCCTCTGTCAAATAAATAAATAAAATCTTTAAAATAAATAAATAAATAAATAAATAAAATAAAATAAAATGCAAACTTCCAGACCCTCCTTGGGACTCAGATGCTCTAGGTCTGAGGAAGGTGCATTTTAATAGGACTTCCGGAGATGATGATGTAGAGGGTAGTTTATTGGAACTGAACCAAGCATAGGAAAAGAACAGCCAAAGAGGTTTTGAATGTTAGCTTACATGTATAAAATATCTCACCGGCTCAAAATTCAGCTGGCAAGATAGCAGATTTTTGTTTTTATTTTTTTTTTATTTTTAGATTCAATTAGCCACCATAGAGTACATCCTTAGTTTCACAGGTAGAGGTCAGTGATTCATCAGTTGCATATAATATAACACCCAGTGCTCATCACATCACGTGCCCTCAATGCCCATCACCCAGTTACCCCAACCCTCCACCCCTCACCCCTCCAACAACCCTCAGTTTGTTCCCTAGAATTAAGAGTCTCTCATGGTTTGTCTCCCTCTTCTGACTTCTTCCCATTCAATTTTTCCTCCCTTCCCTATGATCATCTGTACTGTTTCTTCTATTCCACATATGAGTGAAACCATATGATAATTGTCTTTCTCTGATTGACTTATTTCCCTCAACAAAATCCCCTCCAGTTCCACCCACGTCAGTGTAAATGGTAGGTATTCATCCCTTCTGATGGCTGAGTAATATGGACCACATCTTCCTTATCCATTCATCTGTCAATGGGACATCTGGGCTCCTTCCACGTTTGGCTATTGTGGACATTGCTGCTATGAACATTGGGGTGCATATGCCCTTTCGGATCCCTACATTTGTATCTTTGGGGTAAATACCCAGTAGTGCAATTGCTGGGTCATACGGTAGCTCTATTTTCAACTGTTTGGGGAACCTCCATACTGTTTTCCAGA